TACAAGACCATTTATCTCTGGGACAAAAAGTCACAATCACCTCTAGCCGTCAAATATAAAAGTGATAGTCCATGGCAGTCATAAAGTTAGAATTTTTTTTTTTTGGTGAACTTTTGTATATTTTTTAACCTTGAGGTTGGTCAATGACAACCTTCTAGCTTCCTGATTTTACATCGAATGGCTATGGTTGATTGTGTCCACCTTGTAACAAAGATATCCCTATATATACAAATATGCAGAAGGGTTTTATTAAGCGGAGCCCACACTTATTGTGTGGGCCCTAATGTCTGCAACATCCGATATTTGATCAATCCTGCCCAAACCCCCTTTTGAAAATCATGCAAAATCTGCCCCTTTCAATAAAATTGGATGGTGATATATCATGGGGTACTTTCTGTATGAAAACAGGTGTGCGCAATCCTAAGGGCTGTTAGTGCACTCGGGGGAGGAGCCTACTTTGTAGCAGTGCTTGCAGGGGTGGTTCTTTTCGTGGTTCTCGGATACTTTGTTCATGTTCTTGACGATGTTATTGATGCAGTTTATGTATGTTACGCCATAGACAGAGACAAGGGGGAGGTGTGCAAACAAGATGTCCATGAGGTGTATGTGATGCTTCCCATTAGCAGGCATGAAAGACCAACTTTTGCACCAGAGCTCCCTTGAATGCCTGATCTGAAATGTTTCGTCTTTTTAACTCCTCTTCTGAGAAGGCACCAAGGAGGGCGTTTGGCCCATGTACATAGCGAATTGGACTTGTTCCTATTGTCATTTGTACTCTCTCTTGTCATTTGTACTCTCTCTTGGTGCCTTCGGGTTGTAGTTTGTAAAGCTTATGGTTGTTGGTTAATAAATTGGGTTTGTTTTCTTGCATTCTTTATGAGAAACTGGTCTTTATGAGAAACTGGTTCTTTTGGTAGATACTGGTTGTCTGTATATGAGGAACCCATGATGGATGGGAAGGCTAACATTGATTATGTAATATTTAATGTTCTTATTCATTTTGGAAGTCAGGGGGGAGGTGGTGAATCCGGCGAAAGCATTGCTAATTTTAATTTATGGTCTAACATTGTAGGTTTTGTGACCTTATATTTCATGGAACTTCGGTCTTTCATTGCCTGATTGAGCTTTGTTATGTCACCGGTGTAGGAAAATTCGGACAGGAATGGTTAACCGGACATGGGTTTGAAAGCAGTTAGATTGGAATCGGCTTAATTGGGCAATTATTCGGACCGGTTTGGTCCGGTAGATTTCTTTTTTTTTTTAAATGGGTCATAAACCCAAAAAAAATAAAAAATTCAAAAAATATAGATTAATTGTATACTATTTTATTATGGGTGCGGTTTGTATGGAGCCTAGGCTCTAAACAATCAAATTAGAGCCTACCTTCAAATAGTGTCGAGAAATGTGGTTTCACTTATGGAAATCTTTGTGATAGCCTTAAAATATATTTTCATATTTATTTATAAAGTTTAAAGTTTCAAAAATAGTGTAGATTAACAGATCTATGAAAACTTGAAAATCTTGAAAATTGACGGTCCAAAAATATGCTACAAAGTACACTATTTTCAAAACTTAAAATCTATTTTTTTCTCATGTCTATGCATCTAAATTGGACATTTGAAGTAAATTTTCTTTGAATTTGAATTAACAATGCACCTGTGTCAGTGTAGTTATTTAGTGGAATTGCATTACTTACCCTAAGTTACAAAATGTAATCTAAAGTCTATGTATAATAATCATGAGCCTCAAGAAAGTGGTACCTAGAGATGAATATTTAACATGCCATGAACTAAAATAAATAAAGATAATAAATTAAAGTTTCTTCATTCAGATTGAGAACATTACGATCATGTCAATAACAATACAAGCAAGACAATTTTGTTACAATGTCTACAAGAATATAACGGTACACAATTGCAGATTAATGCATCGAAGTATATGAACAAATATACTTTCTAACATTTAAAATAAAAAGTTCAACAACCGCATTGCAAAATAAATCTGATTAATAAAAAAAAAAATACTACCATAATGTTAGATTAAGTCATTAAAGACAAAAAAAAATACATGCCGTAAGTTTAGATTTTATAGCACTAAAACAAAATTGGAGATAAATTTAAAAAATCTGAGTTCTTTCCAATAAAAACTGTAAATTAATGAGCTAAAATTGAAGATAATTCTTTTGAATTTAAAAAATACTTTTTGGGGTGGGGGATTTATCCTACTACTAGTACCCAAAAACCTGGGCTAACCTAAACCAGAAGAGATTCCGTTCTAACTAGCCGGTTCTGGTTAGAACAGGTTGTTTTTTCTTACATTGATCTAGACTCATTTCGAGGGGAAAACCTTCCTTTGTCTATAAGTTAGGGTCTTGTTTTGATGAGAATTTAAAAAGAAATTATATATAGATAGAAATATTGTAAATAGAGCCATTGTGACCCCCATAAAAGGGGTAGTTCTCCATCCAAGCGCTACTTTACCATATTCCGAATTCAACGGTTTCAATAAATTATGGGCCAGTTTTTTGAAACATAGAAAACAAGAGAAAACGATCTATTTACTAGTTTCCATGTTTTTATCTGATTAGGAATGGGAACAGCGGGGAAAGGTGTAGCCCTAGATTTTTTTGTATTTCCATGCTTTTTCCAAATTTTGTGAAAAACTACCTTTCTCTCGGAAAGGGTGGAAATGTGAAGCCCCATCCGTATTTTATTTCTCCGACCTCATGATGTCTCCTCCTCAATTTCTCTTTACCCAAGTTCTAGCTCTAGTTTTCTATAGTTTTCCCATTTAGGTTACCGCGTTGTCAGCTTCCAACCATGAGTTTTCTACTTCTATTTTTTTTCTTAAGCCTAGTTATTGAGAGTTTCTCCAGAAAAAAAAAAAAAGCTTTCTCAATTACCAAAAAGGCAATATTTTTTTTTTTAATGAAATATAGAAACGACCTGGTATTTTTTCAAACAAATAAAAGAAAGAGCCTCGACACATTTGTAAAGAAAGTATTATTATCTAAGATGATCAAGATAGGTTATCAAATGAGAGATGCGGTGCGAGGTGATTGGAGGGGTCTATTGTGCTAAGTGGCTTGATGATGTGAGTGCATTACTTCTGATATAGGCAATGAATACAAAAAATTTAAAAATTATACTAATTTATCAATATAAAAATTTAAAATGCTTATAAATGATAGTAGACATTTCATTTTAGTATTTTTCGTAATATTTTATTGTCTGAATTGCCAATAAAGGTTAAAATAGAAAATTTTTGTCTTTATTATTCAATATAATTAATTCATCATTATCATCATCATCAAAGTCTTTTTTCAACTATTTAGAGTCGGCTACATGAATCCTAGTCTACTATTCTACTCTATCAAGGGCCATACCCTCAGTGAGGCCACAAGTTCTTATATTTTTTCTCACTACTTTCAACTATGTCCTTTTAGACCTATCACTTATATTTTTTTAGCCTTCTATTTGAACTAACTCGTACCTCCTAACAAGTGTTGTATTAAGTATATGCTGCACATGGCCAACCAATCTAAATTACTTTCTCTCATCTTGTTGACTATTGGAACCACAACTAAGTTATCTCAAATGTATTCATTTCGAATTCTATCTTTTTTTATCTTGCCACTCATCCATCTCAACATCCTCATCTCAACTATACTCATCCAATTAGGTATGTTGTTCTTGACCGCTTAACATTCTGCGTAATAATTAATATGTAAAATACTATGATCTAATGATCTAATTCATTGGTTAAATTTTATAGTACATAAAAGAATGTGTCAATATGGGAAGCACCTAAATAAGAAAACAAGAGTACCATAAGATTATTTAAAAAAAAGCAAAACACAAAGTACTTCTCGTTATGTTCTTATTCAAATTTGAAACCCTAGTTAACTTGGTAATATCCTTCGAATGATGCTGAATGAAATCAATTAAAGGTACAAGGCAAAAATTTAGGCTTAATTTTTTTAAAAAAAGAAACTTTGTTTTTTGAACCTCAGCCAAAAGAGGGCTCGCCACCACCCCTAGCAGAGCCATACGACTGATGCAGCTGCATAGTTCGTTATGTGGCTGGCATTTGAAAATAAGGTTAAGGTGAAAGGTTATATAAGGTTACAATCTTATTTCTAACGTTTATTTTATTTGGACGGTATGGATTTGAGAATATCTTACAAAAATATGTATCTTTTTTATATTGTATTAAAAGATATGTAAAAAATCATGTTATTTTCTAGCAATTTGTAGGATTTCATGCTGCTTAGTATTTACTTTTATTTCCTATTTTTACGTCCTAAATGCTTCTTTTCTTTCTTTCTTGACTTATTTCTCGTGTTTTTTTTTGGTGCAGTTTTTTGTTCATACTCTTCATATGTTGCGATAAATTAGAACATTTTTACCATCAAATAACATTCCATCCATCTGTTCATGAACACCACTTGTGTGCCATCCATAAAGTATGCCTGCATATAAACGATTGAGAAATGAACTTTTGAATCTTAAATGATATCTATCTAAAGAAAGGAAAAAGAGAGAAAAATACCTTCCAGCTTATAGCATTGTATAGAAAATCGACTTGGCCAAGATATTTGGCCTAGCTGAGCCGAGTAATTTGGCCGAGTCCAAGCGGACTTGGTTGAGTAAAATGGACCCCATAAAAAGTGAAAAAAAAGCTAAAAGAAGTTAAAAAGATCTCCAACATATATATTAAAATTGGAAAAAGCTAAAATGATTAATAGAATTATTAGAAGCTACAAAAGGGATTATACTTTGAATATTTGAAAAAAATTAAAAATCAAGAAAATATGAAAGTTCCCAGCTACCTTAAAATTAACAAAATCCTCTGAAGTATTTATAACCATTATCTTAGTATTATATATATATATATGAGAAATGATCCTATAGCACCCTCTCCCATCCATGTGTGTAGGACCTCCAAAGGATTACTGTTAAAGTTGGCATAAATATTTAGAAAAGTCAATTTTCATACCTATGTGATAATTTTTCTAAAGATCCATGCCAACTTTAATGGTGATCTTTTGAGGTCCTACATACATGGATGGGAGAGGGTCCTATAGGATCATTACTATATATATATATATATATATATTTCAAGCATTTATTTGGGCTTGGTAAGTTGTACGCCTAATTCACCAGAACTCAGCTTGCGCAGTTGAGTTACTCGGTCGAGTCCAAGTGGACTCAGCCAAGTCTCAATACACTAACTAGTATTGACAAAGTTGTTGAAGAAGATCAATAGTTACATTGAATAGTATTTGACAAAGTTATTGGAGGAGGTCTATGGTGGCAGCTTGTTCAGTCCGGTGCTCTAAAAATCGAACCAGCCCCTAAAACCGGCCAAGGGCTGATACTAAGTAACCAGTAAACCAGTCGGTTCAACCGACGTAACCTGGAAAGTCCTGGCTGGTCAAAAAAATGTCCAGCTGGATTGTAAACAAATCCTTATTTTTGGAACTTCATACAAATTTTTAAGAATTTTTTTTAAAATATCCAGCCGGGTTACCAAAACCGGCCAAAATCGAAACTAGGCAGCGATCGATTCCTATCTAACCAGGCGGTTTCGATTTGAACCACCCCATTTTGCAAACGCTGATTCAGCTCAAAAGGGAAACACCCTTACCAGAGAATGGGTTCTAGGTAGAGGGGGTTATAGGGACGCAGGGTGATGGGTGCCACGACATGAGCTTTGGAGTTTCATTCTCGTTCCCTTGTTAACATTTAAACAAACCATTTTCAAATGAGGTCATCCCATTTTAAACATTTTAAAGCTAATTGGAATATTGCTTGTGAGTATCAGAGTTTCGGATGTTCGGATGTGGTCATGGTGAATATAAAGCAACCTGTATAACTTTTTCTGTGCAATATTCTCCTTTTTTTTTTTTTTTTGTCATACATATATTACGAAGGTGGTACATTCTATATATTATTTTTTAACAATCTACATAACCTATAATTACCCTATAAAGATTAGGGCTTTATGTCTGAAATAAAAAGATT